TTTCTTTTCGGACCATTTCGGCAGACTAGCTAGGAATTTAGGAATTTTGGAATTTCTGAGGTGCTGCCCTGCATGTTTGCGCGCTCTTTCTTGCTGCTGCGCCGAAACCTTGATTGATTGGTGCCTCAATCCTTTTTTTGCAACTGTAATTTTTTGCGCATACTTTTGTAATTGTATCTTTCTGTTTCTTGCTTCTTCTTCTTCCCGCCTCGTTTCTTCCTCCCCCCCCCCTGCCTACATTGGGTAGTCGCGTTTGTATGTTCGGATCGATGCGTGGAGTGGGTACGTCCCCCACGCCGCGGCCCGACCATGCAAACGCAGGCACTCCCTTTCCCCCATCTATCTACGTCCTTGTAATTCCGTGTTCTTCGCGCATGCATGCACGCTATAAATTTCGGCTGCGCGATTAACTTGCTCTCTTAACAGTTGCTGGAAGCTCGGGGTGGCGCGATCGAGAGGGTCGGCACACGAGCGAAGTAAGAGGTGAGTGAAGTGGGAGTCGAGCGACCCGACGAGCTGGTGCCGAATGCGCGTGGTTGACGCGGGCCACGACGGACTGTGGGCGCGGAGTGAACCTAACGGGTGCAGGAGGACTAAGCGGGGTGACGACTTTGTGTGTTGGTGCGCGACGACGGACTGTCGGCATCAGAGAGAGAGAGAGAGAGAGAGAGAGAGAGAGAGGAGAGAGATTCGAGATTGAGGATGGACATGGATTTGCGCTTTTCTTTTCGTTCCCTTTTTTATCTGTGTATATAATTTTGGTGTCAATCACAGGCAATTCGCCCTTGTCCTTGCGGCCATATGCTCGTCTTGTTGTTCGATCTGGTTTTGTTCTTCTTTTCATCGATGATTTCTCCTTTTTCTTTCCTTCCTCGGAATCCTATTTTGCAAATAATGTATGGATGGTTCGCGCCCCCCTGCCTTTCGTTTTTCATCGTTTCCTTCGAACCCTCGTACATGATGAGTGAAAATGGGGATTGCATGCTGGCGTGATCAATAGAGTATGTTGGATTGTTGTATCTTACGGATAGTCTGGAGCGCACCGTCCGACGTGCCATAGGGACACATGCAAGTCTGATCCGGACGGAGCGCGGCTTATACGTGCCCCTACCACTCAGACTCGCCAATCACGTCTTAACTAATGCGCGTAGCCAGCCCTTCATTGAAGGAGTCGATTTCAATTGGGATCGGGTTACCCATCGCGCGTAAGTGTGACTCGTTCGCATCCTTCTTACGCACTTACGAGCGGTGATCTCCCCGATTAACTTATCCCCCCCCCAAGACGTGAGTGATGAAAGAATGACGAGCTCGCGGAGTTCCGACGTATCTTGGAATTTCGAGGATTACGAGTCGTATTTCGGGCACCGAGAAATTTGGGAAGAAGAACAATTCCGGTTACGGGAAAATTTAAGGAACCCGGTATTCGCCTGCCTCACAGAAAACGATAGATTCTGCGCTAGGGAATTCCATCTCGCCGTACGAAGCGACCCGCGGGGACCCGACTACCCAAACACGTACAACACGCAGTATTTCATAACTCCCGGCTTCGTCCTTGTCGCCACTAGTTTCCCGCCATACCACCTCCTCCTCCCCTATCATCAGCTTACAGTAGTACCGTGGAATTCCATAGCACCTTATTGGCCCTCCACCCCGTGCYGAAGCWSCAGGCGGCGTRCGCATACYYRAAYCCCCGAAGCCTSGGCACCCAGGCTTAGTTCCCACSAACCCATGCCACGTGGCGGGCTCCGCAGGTGTGAGCCCCAAGGACCGCCCCGAYAGGCTCCCYAGAAYCGGCGATCGCGTCARGATCGGAYGGCYCCGCACAACCAACGTGCAAGYCCGCGCCTRTAAATTTTCCCATTGCTCTATTGCATCTATGCCCCTGAACCTTGCCACCGGAGATCTCAGTTCCGACCTGGGACTCCACCCCCACTTTCCAAAAATCCTTGGCACACCCCTTTTGCACTTCCAGGCCCACACCCAACTCCGATCAGGAAGTCGCGCCGGGCGTGAGGTTGGTATCGGAGCCCGACACGTGGCTAAGCGACAAGGGTCTGTAGACTCAATACTGGCTAAGGCGAGGCGATCTGGCTCCACGTCGGCGCCCTCCAACTGGTAATAAACGTCGACGTTGTCCTGTACCTACACAAAGCCGAACCTCCGCTACAAGGCGAGCAGGAGCCATGGCTGCGGCCGCTGCTCTAGCAGCGGCTGCGGCGGCCATCCCCAATCAACCACCTAACCCGCCTGCGCAAACCCCGACGGCTCCACCAGATCTTTATTTATTTGACCCAGCACATCATCTCGCTGGAGCATGGTTGGCCACGCTTCGAGATCAACGGTATACCAACGATGAAGCTCAGATTAACATCCCCGCGCGGATGGGGGGAGACGCCCATCATTGGTATAGCACTTATGTATGGGTGGATCTTCCCACATTCGAGCGGGATGTCATGAACCACTTCGATTATGTTCACCCCGAACAGGCACTCTATATGATCAAGGATCGAGTCCAGAAACCACTCGAATCCATTATCGAGTATCGGAACAGATTTCATCGAATGTTTGTAAAGACTGAGCGAGGCGAGCAGGTCGGCCGGGACCTGTTCATTGATGGACTACGTAACAGAACGATTCGGGGGAAGCTACGTGAAAACTTCTCTCCCATTAATCATACGCTGCAACAAATTATGGACGCTGTCGAAGAGATAGAGCGGAAATTCGCAGCTAGCTTCTTAGAAAATGAGGATTATGGTAGAGAAAGAGACTCGTCCGAACTTGTGAAAGCAAGGGCGGAACTGGCCGCACTACAAAACAAATTCGAAAACATGGGATTCGTAGCCGGACCCGTTACATATGTAAAGCAGGTAACACCGAGGACCGCACCCAACGGAGCGATTGTAGACAGGCAGATCCCGGTAATGGCGTCCCCAACCGTAACTCGGCCACCTCCACCGCCACCCACCATCGAGTCACCCGCAAAAACGAACGAGTCTATTGCTATCTTGGAGCTAACTAAAACATTGGTTAATCTAATCCAAGAAAGCAAGAAGGAACAGCGAGAGCACAACGCCCGGTTAGAAGCTATGATGCGGAATATGCGACCCATTGCGGTGCGAGCACCAATGCAGGGAGGCATGACTGCTGCACAAGTGGCAGCGGGGCCAGCCGGAACAGCGACAAATGTTTGTTTTACATGTCATCAACCGGGACACTTGGTCCGAGATTGCCCCCATCGTGCCAGGCAGCCCTGAGCCGGGATCGCGCCTGCAGCTGCAGCTCCCATAGCTAACGGCCCAGGACGTGTAGGAGCCGTGATGGATGATCAGGGGGGAAGTACGGGAATGATGATTTCCAGTGAGGAAGCAGCTGAGCTTATCCCACTGGAGCAGTACATATCACTAGGATACCCGGGGCTGGGAATGATTGGGACAATTCGATCGGAACTCGAGTCCAGAGATGTCGCCGAGTGGCGGCCTTCATCGAGCGAAATGGAGACGGGAGGCCCTATCTTTGTTACAGGAGAAATCGATGTCCTTGAGGTTACCCGAGCATTGGATCATCGAATCCCTCTCCCAATCGGCCACCTACTTTCCATCTTGGAACAGGCGAACGAACGTATGATGCAGCATTGCAAAGCGAACTGGAAGCGATTCGCCCTTGCACGCGCAAAAGATCAGTAGGCGAAGGCGCCGCCTTCGGAGGAAAAGGCGGACGTCGTCCCTGATCCCATCCGAGTCGGATTAATACAGAAAGATGACAACTTTCTTCGGATCAAGCCGATTCCGTGGAAGTCGGCCGAATGTGATATTGAAGTTTGGGGAATGCCGCATAGTGAGATCATAGATTCGGGAGCGGTTGTCCTAGCGATATCACTCCGAGTAGTCGAGAGAGCGGGTAGGAAGAATGATCTGATTATGCTAACCGAGAAGGACCAGCTCGTATCGGCTGACCAGGAGAAGATCAAGACAGTATGGCGTATGACGAACGTCGCGTTCCGATTGGGAAAAATGCATGCTTTAGGAGATGTTGTGGTGCTGGATGTGAATACATATGACGTTCTGTTCGGGCTTCCTGCATTGGTGGCGCTACGTGCTAATCTGGACTTCGAACGCCGATCCGTCATTCTCCGGAATACCGGGGGAAAGCCGTATGTAATACCCATGAGACTAACTCTTCGAACGTCGGTTAAGGTAGTACCCCGAATTTCTCCAAAAACAATGGGAGCGCTCCGCATGGTCTTCTGGAATGCACCTGTGGACGGAGGCCAATCATCGAACGACGCGTGGAGCGACGACGATGACGACTCAGTCGTTACACAGTTATTACGGCAGCAGATTCACTACCCGCCGCCTTGCACTATTGTGCGTATCATGCATCTAACCACACGAAATGCTCATATGATGATCATGGGAGAACCCCTCGTACAAATTTCAAGGCTGGTTGACTCCTTGGAACCCCCTCGGACCCTGTACGAAGGCGTATCTCCCCTTCTCCTTCAGTATAGTGACAAGCGTTCCTTTTGTGATCTCACTAGCTTACCTGGATCCCTGCTTCAGCCCGCAAAAGAAGTTCAGTTGTTACGTTTGGGAGCCGAAGCAGGTTTTTTGGAACCCCCTCAACACATTGAGGCAAGATCCGATGAATTCGGGGTCAAAATCTCGCCCAAAAACGTGCCCTGGCGAAACATTTGCGACGGGATAACCCTCGAAGGTCATACAGCGATCAGGGAGGAGGAAGCACAAAAGGTGGCCAGTGTGTTTTCTTGGAGATCAGATCACTCCTTTATATCTGCACCGCCTGACACTACTCGGCGTATACACACGAAGGAGGTTAACGTTCGGATTTTGGATCAAATGTATGAATTGCATGTGCCCCAGTATGTACCTGATGAGATCCACCGGTTGATCGCTGATATTTTAATAGAATATCAAGGGGCGAAGTGTGTTCGATGCCGATATTGGATTACCTGTGGTCGTTCAGCATGAGATTCAGACCGGGAATCATTCCCCGATCCACTGCAAGCTGTACCGATACTCGTTGACAGAGCGCAAGACGGCCTTGCAGTGAATCAAGGAATTTGAGGCAAACCGATGGATTGAGCCTGCCACCGGTCCGTGGTCGTTCCCAGTTGTGTTGGTTCCTAAAAAGAACGGGTCAGTCCGCATATGCATCAATTATCGAAAGTTAAATGATATCACAATGAAAGATGTGTATCCCCTTCCCCGGATTGATGATCTACTTGATGCGATCGGATGTGCTAACTACTTCAGCAAGTTGGACATTCGGCATGGGTTTCATCATATCTTGGTGAAAGAAGAAGATCGGCCCAAGACCGCCTTCGTTTTGTTTGAAGGCACGTGGCAGTGGGTTCGGTGCCCGATGAGAATCTGCAATGCGCCTGCCACGTTTCAGCGGGCGATGAATGTGACTTTTCAGAATTTTGTCAATAAGACGCGGCTGACTCAGGGGATGATTAACTTCTGTGTCATTGTGTACATGGATGACATTCTGGTGTACTCGGACACGTTTCACGGACACGCGCAGCACATTGAATGGACGTTGGGTGCGTTGAGAGACGCAGGTTTCAAGATTGCGCTGGAGAAGAGCGAATTTTTCCTCCCGAAAATCTCGTTCTTAAGGTATGTGGTGACACATAGGAGGCCTGAGGCCGGACTCTCGAAAAGTCGCAATGGTCAAAGAGGCCCCGGTTTCGACCTCGCTGACGCAAGTTCGAGCCTTTTTGGGCCTGGCCTCGTATTACCGGCGATTCATCAAGGGGTTCGCGGCTATAGCAAGGCCTCTGACAAACCTGCTGCGAAAAGAACAGCCCCTTCATTGGGATGACGAGTGCGACCAGGCCTTCGGGGCCCTGAAGGATGCTCTCGTCACAACCCCGATTCTGATCCGGCCGGACCCCTCTCGGCAGTTTATTCTCATCACCGACTGGCAGCCGGAGGCTATTTCGGCCATCCTGGCGCAGAAGGGAAACAATGGGAAGGAGCATGTCATTGAGTACGCTTCTCGGACGGTGCCAGACAAGCGACGAAACGATTCCGCGCCACAAGGAGAATGCTATGCGGTAGTGTGGGGTATCCAACACTTCCATCTGTATTTGTACGGTCAGAAGTTTCTGCTCGTCACCGACCATGAACCTCTGTTGGCTATGAAAAAGCTAACCAACTACACGGGCATGATCGGGCGATGGGCGGTGCGGCTGCAAGAATAAGAATTTGACATTGTTCATCGAAAAATGGAAAGACACGGCAACGCCGACGGATTGACACGTTTGCACCGACCCGGTAAAGTACCAAAAGCGGAAGAGATCATACCGTGGAAGGACCCGAACATCAACAACGGTCCAAAGTACGGAGAAGTTGCGGTTATTCCACGTGGCAAGAAGCCAGTGAAGGGCAATGGGTGATGGAGGTAATGTCCCGATTCCCTCTCTTTCTTCCCCATCCTCTTCTTTCGCCTCCCTTCCTGACAAATTTTGCTATTTCTGCGAGGCGATTTCTCGAGTCTATTCCGTCCACATGTGTCCAAAAGGGGCGGGATATGTTGACTGGGTAGATTGTCGGAAATGTGTTGCACGTGCTCATGGTGCGTGCATACAGTATCGGAGTAGTGATAGGCCCTGGTTCTGTCCCTTATGTCGCACTGACAAGATTTCGACGGAAGCCCGATTCCTCGATGCCACATCGGAAGGCCCCGACAAAATCCAGAAGTTTAGAAGAGCAAAAGTCTGGACAGATGTCGCCTTGATAGCCACGGTGGTAGGCAACTCCCTCGAAACCTTCTCCAAGGAGGATCGGAGGAGGGCCAATGAAAGAGCATGGGATTACCGATGGGTGGATGGACGGTTAGAGAAGCGTAAAACGGACGGCAGTGGAGCATGGTTAATAGTTCCGCATCCGTTCATGCGGTACGACTGGGTACGAACCGCCCACGAGGAAACGGCGGCACATTTTGCCGTGCGTATTACCGAAGCTGCGATTGGCAAAAATCAATGGTACTGGTCCAATATCCGAGACGACGTTAAATTCATCGTCCAACACTGCCAAGTCTGCGTTGCTGACAAGGCCCCAACCCAACCGCCTAGGTCGATAGTCCCAACTGTGGTTGAAAGGCCGTTTCGGAGGGTTAGTATGGATACTACTGATATAGTGGTGCCCCCTAGACCGAATAGTTGCAACTGTTCAATTCTGCTGGTTTTTGTCGACCACTTTTCTAAGTGGATCGAGGCCTACCCTTGCAAGACACGACAAGCCGCGGAAATTGCGCGGTACGTCAACCGTTTTCTGGGCATGCACCAGGACACAGAGGAGATCCTGACCGACAATGGGGTCGAATTTAGAGGAGAAGTCGAGAGGAATCTGGTCATACACAGCGTCTCCATACGGCATACGGCCCCGCACATGTCCCAGTCTAACGGATTAGTGGAAAACGCGAATAGGGTGATAAAAACGGCCTTGCGGCGGAATATTGCGGCACGAGACCCCCGACCCTGGCCTGATATTGTTGACCACATCTTGGCGGTCCATCGCGGAAAGCCCCACGAATTGACGGGTCTGAGCCCCTTCCAGCTGCGGACCAATAGTGTCGCGCGTGTGTCGATACTGAGCCTCCTAGACGAATCAGGACTCAACCGACGCCCCACAAGGGTCACCGCTCGGGACAAAGCCAAAAGGCACCTGGAACTCATGGAGCGGTTCCTACCTAGATTGGCCTGGAAGCGCCAACGGTCCACCGAATTGGCCCATGGCCGACAAGTCCGGAGCTACGAGGCCCGGAACGGGAATGCGGGTCCCAGGACCCAGTATAAGTTAGGGGACATCGTGCAGGTAAGGAAATGTGCGCGCCAGGGTAAACTAGCGCCAGCAGTATCGAGTGATTGAACTCGGACCCAACGGCGTGGACACCGTGCGCCTCGCTCCCGAGATTTTCGGCAGTCGATTGGCTCGCCCGATCACACATCACGTGTCCTATCTCCGTCTTCTTCCCTCTATTCCGTCTCCATCCCCATCAACCTCTCCCGACGACGACTCTATCTCCTCTGCATCTCCTTCTCCTTCTCAATCTCTGTCGGATACGCCGTCACCCTCGCCATCGCCATGAGCTTTATGGAGGAGAGAGCTCTAAGTGAAGAAGCAATGGTAGCACGGGGGAATTAGACACTGCGGCAGGTGCTTCATCCTCGTCTTAGTCCGGASCTTCAGCGGGCTGCGCAATTCTTCTGCTCGAAGGGCGTCTACGCGGCAGCAGAGATCCACGTCGACGGGAGGGCTGACGCGATCATATTGGCCGAAGCTGTCGGGTTGCGACAGCGAACATCTGTGGACGTCGGTCGGATAACGGTGGTGGTTAACTTCAGCGGGGATCTCACGGCGATCCCCCCCATCCGACACAGGAGAATCAAGGCGACGTTGCTTCTGTGGGCGCACAATCTTCAGAACGAGTGGACCCAGATCCTGGCGCACCAAGGGGACGTGATCGCACCAATTCGAGCGATCGAATACAGCGGCCTTCGGCTGGATCGGCGTGACTTGCCGACGCAATTACCCCCTCTCATCCCCTTCCATCCCCGATGAGTTCCTTCCCGATCTCTACTTTCGAGCTTCCTTCTTCCTTCCCCACCTTTTGGCAGTCCGATCTTCATCCCCGCTTCTCCTTGTGCACAGATTCTCTGGTTGTTCCCCTCATCGATCCCTCTCAGTGGGACGCGTGGCGCGGAGACTTCATCGAACTCTCACTGTGTTTGGCGAAAGTAAGGGTGACGTGGACGAGGGATGAGAGCAATTATCCGCGGTCTGAGCGATTGGAGCTCCTTTTGATTCAGGCGTGGCGGACGGAAGTCGAAGGGGACCTTCTCGGTTTTCTATTCGGGGCAGTGCGTCCAGGCTGTCAGAGGCTTCTCACCCAGGAGCTTACGGTTCCAATTGCGCAACTGGCCGACCATCTTGACGTCAGCATTGTCTCCCAGGTCGACCCGCGCTTGGTGCCCCACGTCACCTCGCGCACGCTGTCGGCGTATCTTCAGTGGCCAGCTTGCGTGGAAGGCTTCCCATCGAGAATTCCGCCTTCATGGTTGGATTATTTGGATCCGCACGACATCGTGGATCCCGCTTTCTATAGACCGCCGTGTGAAGACGAAGTGGAGGAGATAATCCGCGAGGAGCTCGCGGAAGAAATTTCGGAGGAAGAGGAGGAGAATCTGAACGAAGACGACGGGGAGCCGACACAGCAACAAGAAGGAGACGAAGACGAGCTCCTGCAAACGGAGAGCGAAGAAGAAGCAGAAGAAGAAGACAGCGAGCAGGGGAGCGACGATGACATCGACGACGAGCAGGCCAACGAGGATCCCCAGCTAGAAATTGCGCCGGTTGCTTTCCGATCAGCAATGATCCAACGCTCGACTCGGAGCCACCTCAGCCAGACGACGACCATGTGGCCCAGGTGGCTGGGCTGTCCGCTCGTCGGCCTCCTTCCCCACCGCGGCGCCGCCGACGAAGCCGCTCCCCCCCGCCTCCCTCTCCCTCGCAGCCCGTCCCCCACTTCGAGCATGTCGAGATGAGGCCGATCGGTCTTCGTCGTCGGTCTCTCTCTCTCCGCCCCCATGACTTCCTCACCCTGCGCCAGTTCACCCATCCCGCCGTCTTCCCCCACAACCTCTTCCCCCGCGACACTTTCCATCATTACTTCTCCATCCGTCTCTCTGTCACAGTCCATCCCCACTCATCCTCCCGGCGTGCTTCCCCCGAGTTCCCTCTCCATGTACTTCTCTCCATCATTGGATGGCGTCGTATTAACGCCGTAGAGGTTTATTGCCTCATCACGGGGTCAATCCCCGCATGCGGCGATCGCGATCGGTTTCGCGCGGCGCTTCTTAGGACCTTCGCCACTCTTTATCCCGACTACCTCGCTTCTCTCCCCACTACTGGCCGCCGATTACCCCGCTTCCATAGAATCGTCCATCATCGGAGCCTTTCGGAGACGGACGACGAGCTGGAACGCTTCTTCTCGGCTATCCTGACTCATCCCCCATCAACACCTCCGCCTGCCTATCGTCTTCCTTTCCCTCTTCCCCACGAATGACAACAACCGGGATACGACGGCCGCACAGCATGACTTCCACACTCGTTCGCACGATATGCGGCAGGAAAGAAGATCAACCATCCACGGCCAATCAATCGAAGATGAGCGACACGTCAGCCAGCAAGCAGGAGCTTGTTTATCTTTGGAACCCCCTGGGCGTCACATATGTGACGAACTAGCTTCTGTAACGCGCGACTTTCGGCGCGAAGTGCTAAGCGGGGTCCCACGTCGATTGGACGGGTTGATGGAAAATTGCATGTGTCCTTGCCTTTTTGTTGTTTCTTCGTTCTCGCACGAGCCCCTGATGGCAGTTGGGGACAATTCGGGAATACCAGGGGAAAAGGGGGCAAAACTTGGTTGGATGCGGAGTGCTCGCCGTGTGCGCGATTAATAAACATCGACGTCTCTTCTTTTCTTTCGTTTCCCGTTTTTTCTTTCGTTTTGTCGGACTCTTGGGCGCGCAGACATCGCGCGGGAATTTCGGTGTGTCTTTTTGAATTTCTTTCTTGAATTTTCTTTTCGAATCTTGGTCGGAGCCATATGGTCTTCGGAATTTTGATTCTCTTTTCGGACCTTTTCGGCAGACTAGCTAGGAATTTAGGAATATTGGAATTTATGAGGTGCTGCTCCACATGTTCGCGCGCTCTTTCTTGCTGCTGCGCCGGAACCTTGATTGATTGGCGCCTCAATCCTTTTTTTGCAACTGTATTTTTTGGCGCATACTTTTGTAACTGTATCTTTCTGTTTCTTGCTTCTTCTTCTTCCCGCCTCGTTTCTTCCTCCCCCCCCCCTTGCCTACATTGGGTAGCCGCGTTTGCATGTTCGGATCGGTGCGTGGAGTGGGTACGTCCCCCACGCCGCGGCCCGACCATGCAAACGCAGGCACTCCCTTTCCCCCACCTATCTACGTCTTTGTAATTCCGTGTTCTTCGCGCATGCATGCACGCTATAAATTTCGGCTGCGCGATTGACTTACTCTCTTAACAGTTGCTGGATGCTCGGGGTGGCGCGATCGAGAGGGTCGGCACACAAGCGAAGTAAGAGGTGAGTGAAGTGGGAGTCGAGCGACCYGACGAGCTGGTGCCGAATGCGCGTGGTTGACGCGGGCCACGACGGACTGTGGGCGCGGAGTGAACCTAACGGGTGCAGGAGGACTAAGCGGGGTGACGACTTTGTGTGTTGGTGCGCGACGACGGACTGTCGGCATCAGAGAGAGAGAGAGAGAGAGAGAGAGAGAGAGAGGAGAGAGATTCGAGATTGAGGATGGACATGGATTTGCGCTTTTCTTTTCGTTCCCTTTTTTATCTGTGTATATAATTTTGGTGTCAATCACAGGCAATTCGCCCTTGTCCTTGCGGCCATATGCTCGTCTTGTTGTTCGATCTGGTTTTGTTCTTCTTTTCATCGATGATTTCTCCTTTTTCTTTCCTTCCTCGGAATCCTATTTTGCAAATAATGTATGGATGGTTCGCGCCCCCCTGCCTTTCGTTTTTCATCGTTTCCTTCGAACCCTCGTACATGATGAGTGAAAATGGGGATTGCATGCTGGCGTGATCAATAGAGTATGTTGGATTGTTGTATCTTACGGATAGTCTGGAGCGCACCGTCCGACGTGCCATAGGGACACATGCAAGTCTGATCCGGACGGAGCGCGGCTTATACGTGCCCCTACCACTCAGACTCGCCAATCACGTCTTAACTAATGCGCGTAGCCAGCCCTTCATTGAAGGAGTCGATTTCAATTGGGATCGGGTTACCCATCGCGCGTAAGTGTGACTCGTTCGCATCCTTCTTACGCACTTACGAGCGGTGATCTCCCCGATTAACTTATCCCCCCCCCAAGACGTGAGTGATGAAAGAATGACGAGCTCGCGGAGTTCCGACGTATCTTGGAATTTCGAGGATTACGAGTCGTATTTCGGGCACCGAGAAATTTGGGAAGAAGAACAATTCCGGTTACGGGAAAATTTAAGGAACCCGGTATTCGCCTGCCTCACAGAAAACGATAGATTCTGCGCTAGGGAATTCCATCTCGCCGTACGAAGCGACCCGCGGGGACCCGACTACCCAAACACGTACAACACGCAGTATTTCATAACTCCCGGCTTCGTCCTTGTCGCCACTAGTTTCCCGCCATACCACCTCCTCCTCCCCTATCATCAGCTTACAGTAGTACCGTGGAATTCCATAGCACCTTATTGGCCCTCCACCCCGTGCYGAAGCWSCAGGCGGCGTRCGCATACYYRAAYCCCCGAAGCCTSGGCACCCAGGCTTAGTTCCCACSAACCCATGCCACGTGGCGGGCTCCGCAGGTGTGAGCCCCAAGGACCGCCCCGAYAGGCTCCCYAGAAYCGGCGATCGCGTCARGATCGGAYGGCYCCGCACAACCAACGTGCAAGYCCGCGCCTGTAAATTTTCCCATTGCTCTATTGCATCTATGCCCCTGAACCTTGCCACCGGAGATCTCAGTTCCGACCTGGGACTCCACCCCCACTTTCCAAAAATCCTTGGCACACCCTTTTGCACTTCCAGGCCCACACCCAGCTCCAATCAGGAAGTCGCGCCGGGCGTGAGGTTGGGCGTCACAGGACTCTTTCTCTTGTAGGCTGATTCTACAGTAGGCGAACTACTGTCCCCTACCACAGTAGCCTAACCTGCTTCGACCGACATGGCTGCTGCCGGCGCCAGCAAAAATGAGGTGCACGCCGGTTCTTTCTTTTTCGGTGCGCAGGGCATTTTCAGTGTCGGCTTCAATAGCTGGGCGGGGTACTGGTGGTTTAAACGGCGGGTAGTTGGGTACCTTTTTTGTGGCCAACATTTTACCTACCCTGAAAACGCCCCGCGTGCCAAAGAAAAACGAATCGGCGCAGGCTTTCTTTAGGCTGGCACCACCAGCCAGAATTTGCTTCGGTAGCCCAAGCTCCGAAATTTGCAGCAAGTTAACGGCCGAGTCGGAGAAAAATGGTTGGTTGGGCGAGGTACTGGTGGTTTAAGTGGTTTAATTATTTACATCTTGAAGCTGCTTATTGGATGATCAAAGACTGGGGCCAAAAACCCTTTGCGGCGAATGCAGAATAATGTGATTGCTCCAGCCAACTTCTGTCGTTTGATTTGAAAGGAATGCGATTGTCAATTGCGATCTTCTCATCGATGGTTTGAGGAATCCATCTTTGAAAGCTATAAACTAATGATGAAGAAGGCGTGCTGGACTGCTTGCATCTTTTGACCAAATAATCATGGTGTGTACTGTTCAGATAAAATAGCCGAATGGGGCAAAAGTTTCCAGAAGAGGATCAGTGATGGGATGATGTGGTGGTGGTAGTGGCACATTGAAGGTCATCGATATTTGTCAAGTTGTAATTGCACAGTTTGATGAAAAAATCAACTGCTAGTTGAAGCATCCATGAGCCATATAACTCACCCTCAAGATGTGAATGTGACAATCTCTTCTATGAGTACCTTGTTTCTCCTCTAATTGTTCTGGAAGCAAAAAATGTTGGAACCTTGGGCACCTCTGAATTGGTGTAAAAAAAAAAATAAAAAAAAAATGAATTGGTGTAAACCGCCCCTCCCCACTATGGCCAGAAAATGGCTTTCCGGGCCTTTCGGGCCCCATTTGGAGGGGGTGCGCCGACTGGTAGTGGTAGGCAGTGGGTGGGTCCGGTCCAACAATTTCGAAGCGCCAACTTTGGCAAGTTTTTCGCGCTCAGAATCATGCGCATAAAAATATGAAATTTCGAGATCTGGTAGATTAGGCAATTTCCATTTCTGCCACTTTGGCACCTGTGGGAGAACCCAAAAAAAAGTACTCCCAACTTCAGCCACGATAGTAGCCACAACCAGGAGCCAGGCGATCAACAATAGAAAGACACAAAGATCCAGACACCACGGAAACGTGGTTGTAATTAGTGAGGGTAAGGGTGGTGGGAGGCAAATAAGAGGGCTGGCATTCCTTTGAGGTTAACACTCCACTGGCCTCCGTCCCTTTGGACCCCGAGGAGCGGGAATGGAAGGTGAGCGGGCAGGTGGACAGCGTCTAATTATGGCAGTATACGTCTAATTATGGCAATATACGTCTAATTATGGCAATATACGGCGAAAATGGGCTACCACATCTGTAGTGAAATACAACCTTCGCAAGACAAAGTCGTGGTATCAGAAGCTGGGGGAAATATTCTCCAGTGCCAGCCACTGGTCTTGAAAATTTTAAATGGTCGGTGAATGCCCGACTTATGTCTGTGCATCGCACAGAGGCCTGCAGTGGCAAATTATCCATCGCACCTCACCGACACCAGACTTGATAGTCTCATGAACAGACTTGGAACAGAAAGGTAAAACTATCCCCTATTTGCTAGTACTGA